TTTGAACCCTTCTTAAGAACTAAGGAATGCTACTGAACCACTAGGGCTCATCCTCCTTGGTGCCAATGCCTGGCAAGACTTTTTTTTTTTTTTATAACCACAAGCATTTGTACATGAACCCAATTCACTGTTTCTAGATCATTAAAGAAATATGAATACATCCTTTTTGATTTGCAGGGATGCCTGGAAGTACTCAGACTCAAGTCACAGGAACAAAAAAAAAACAAAAAACAAAAAACAAAAAACCCAAGCTACAATGTGCTCAATGGTAACTTCTGCCAACAGAGTCTACATATTTTGATAAGGTCTCACTTGTATGCCAAGTATTTTCCCCACAATATTTCTTTATAATCCCAGTGATCTACAGAATTTTGTCCATTTTGGAAAGTCACAACATATAACAGATGATCAAAATAAACATTAGAAAATTGGGTAATGAAAAGAACAAATAGGGAATCAGCAAGTGGTAATGGAGTAAAGTCAATTTTGCCCTCTTTATTACCCTCTCTTACCTCCCACCCCCTAAAATCTTGTAATTTAGTGCCTATGTGCCCACATTGCAGATGTACTCATCTTTCCTCCCAAAATTGGTCTTTTTGTCCCATATATCTTGACTGTGTTAGTACACCATGCAAGAGACTTAATACTCTCTGATGAATGTGATTTACCAAGACTACTTGCCGCAGACACCGTGGGCTGTCTTTATTCTGTCAAAGCTCTGCCTTTATTCTGATATCCAATCCTCCCACAAGTGGCTCAGATAAATCCTGCTGGATGGAAAATAATCATGGTGGTCTCCAGTGACTGCTCTGGACCAATGAGATGTGACATAAAGTGTGCTGGAGGATGTCTGGGAAAAGTATCATCCTAGCTCTTAAAAAGGGACTCAGAGAAGAAATAATGCCTTTTCTGCTTCTGGACAAGCACTGACATGCAAGGACACAATGCAGTACGCTGGGACTCTGCAAGGAGCTAGCCAACACAAGATGCTGACTGAGCAGGAACATGGAAATAGCTTGAGTCCTTCATGAGCTGAGAAACTAACCAACTCTCAGGACAGATTCTGTGTCATGACACAACAGATCTCCTTATTGTTTAAGCCATTTTGAATTGGATTTTCTGTTTCTTGCAGCCCAAAGCATCCTAAATGATACCATATTTCTCTGGGGAAGGAAAACAGTCTTCTGCCTCTCCAACACCCCCGCAACAAAGGAACAGTTGCTCCAAAAAAGGAAAGAGACTAAGGTTTATTTCTCAATAAGTATTTTGGGAAAATCAGCTGTGAAAAGGTATTTTTAATATCTACTCCTGATGTATGAAGGGTTCTTTGAAATCCTTCCTCACTGCATACACCGTAATAAATCCACATGAGCCACTATGAATGGTATGTGTGGGGATATACAACATACTTGGAGCCATAATATGTAAACATTAGGAAATTACCATGAAATTAGTCTTTTTAACTCATCTACTTTTATTTCCTCTTACGATTATAAGAGTGGGATATTTTTCTTGTGTCCTGCTCCACCTGATAAAAATAACAGAATTATACAATTGGAGGAGAAAGAAAACTGAGGCTCAAAGAGGTAGAAAAATTGGCACAAGGATCCATAGCTAGCTGGGAATGATTTTTTTCTTAAGTAAAAACGCCTTTTGCATGATTTTAAAACAAAAACATTTTTTGAAAACTCAATGCAAAGTCAAACTGCAAAGACTTGGAAAGTCAAAACTGGATTTTCAAAAGCTAATTTAATCACGACAATAAAATCTCCCTTTTGAATTCACTGCTTTGAGCTTCTTCTTTCTAATATTCACCTACATCCCAATCCATATTCCTCTCAATACCATTTCTCTCTCCTAGAAAATCCTTGCGTACGGCCCATTCTCTGGGCCAGTGGTTCTTAGATCACTATTCACATAATAATTACCTGGGAAATAAATCAGAAATGCAGATTCCCAGGCAGAGAGCCTGACTGAGTAGACCCACAGAGCCCAGAAATGTCAATGTAAACAAGCACCCCAAGTGATTCTAACCATCCTTTGAGGCACATGACTCCAGACTGTATACTAGATTCCAAGATCCAAACAGAAAACATCTAATTATCATAGTAGATTTAAGCTGAAACTACAAAAATATGTGCATGGTTGCCAATAATTTTTATGTTCCCTCTGAGGTCTGAAACAAATCCAACATCTCTATGATTTGGATGTGCCCTGGTAATCATTTGCTTTAGAGGTTTGGAGTTTTTATCCTTCCCCCGACCCAAGACTTTTTTTCCCCCTCTGAATGAATTTTTAGCTGGGATTTAATAAAAAAAAAATGCCTTAATTCTCCCTCTGTGGCTAAGGGAAATCAATTTTGGAAAATGTTTCAAAAGAGTACTTTAAAAAATATACAATACAAAATGTCTTGCCTTTGAACCAGAATTCTGAGATGCACAAGGCAAACAGTAGGTAATGAGAGAAGTAAACACCAGTTTTCCAGCAGAATCAGCCCTGAAACCAAAACTTAGGAAGGAAGCTGACCATTAAGTAAGTAGCCCAGAGGAACAATAGCTCAGGCGTAGCCTAGAGTAAGTCTAAACCTGAGAAAACTGGAATTAGACAAACTTCTTGTCCCAAGTTAACTTTCCCTTACTGCTTGATTTTAAAATAAGGACAGTGCTGTAAATGAGAATATAAAGTTTAAGTGGAATCTTAGAACTCCTCTGGATGCCAAAGAATTCTTTCAGACCTAAATAAATACTCTTTACTGGATTCAACACTGCTCATTCATATCCTTCTCCACAGGGACATTTTAAATATAGAGGATCGGGAGACCAAGAACACAGCACGCTAAGAATTTAAGTCTGCTATAGTCTAATACTAGCTCTAACCAACTCACATTACAGCATGAGAGCTTGTCCATAGGTAGATTTCTTGATAATTAAATGAACAAGAAATACCATAAAACCACAGAATATCATTCTCAAGTTTCAAAGATAAGACATAATGCTCAAGAAATGCTATGAAGTAAACAACTCCAGGAACAAAATTGCTTTAAATTGGTTACAAGGCCAAAAAAACAAAAAAGTGTCAAGGTCACAACTGTGATTTACAAATTCCAGTTTATAACTCTTAGGTTAGTGACAAGGATGGACTGAATGTAATGGAATTGAAGGGGGAAAGAGTGGAAAAAGGAAGAGAAAGTGAGTCATCCAAACAGGAGATGAACAAGTTCAACTGTTCAAGACCTACCTTAAGGGTTTGGTTTTGTTTTTTAAATCTTCTTTTCTTCTTCTTTAAAGACTCCTAACAATCCTAAAGGAAATTTAAAAGTAGGAGAAATGCAACACTGGCTCTGCTGGGTCACCCTTCACTTTTGGTCTCTCTCAGTTCAGTTAAGCTCCTTCCAATTGCACAGCTTGAAAAGGCCCATGGCTTTCAGATGTTTCCTAACCCTTCTCCAGCTGCTTTCTGCAGGCCTGAAGGCCTCTTTAAGACCCAATGGCCATGAAGCAGTCATGAGCATCCCCACACATACTAGGCTGGAGGGTGCACCTGGAACCTCCTGTGTCTTGGTGTTTGTCCTTCAAGTGTGCAAAGTTTTGCAACTAAGATCTAAACCAGCTTCTCTGCTTAACAAACGCCTGACTCTAGGTTGTGTGGAAACGGTACTAAACTGTCATCTCAGAGCATCTGGAGTTACTTTTTAAAGCCCAGTTCCCATTATTTTAAACATGCTTCATCAGGATTCTTTGACACCTTTAGGGCATTATCCTGTAAACTTGCATGTTATCTGCTATGCTTCCTAAGTACTCCTGAACAAGCAGCTCTGATATGGGAAGCCAAGAAAAAAAAATTGGTCAATAATGGAGCAACCGTGGCTTTGCCGAATTGCTTTTCAACAACACACAAAATACTCTTGCTTCTTGATGGAAATGAGGACATGGTTGAAATCTTCATGATGTATATCACTCTTTTTTCCAAAGGCAATATCAAGTGCTTGACAGAAAGATGAAAACTAACCATTACAATCTCACTCAGAAGAATATCAACTTATCCCAAAGAAATACCCTAATAGCATAGCAAAGTGTGGACTATAAAAGCCAAATTTATAACACGTCAGTTCAGTAGAATGTAGGGTTTAATAATTTAGGTTAACTGTTATGCTCTCATTCTTTTCTTTTGTGCCAGTCTGCAATCAAGAACATACCACCAAAGTCAATGGAAGGTTAGAACACACACACAAGTAGTGATGAATGCAGCACGGGAAGTCAGAAATGCCACTTGTAAACGGGTCAAGGAACAGTAAATACACAAATATTCAAAACCATTCCAAGACTGTAAATACTCCTAGTAGAAAATCAGGTCCCGACTGAATGCTTTGATTATCTCAGAGGACAAGCGAGTATTTGCTGAAAACAATTCCTTTACTCTTTATACTTCTTCAAAGGCTTTAATGCATGTAACTTCAAAAATCAATGATCCTTGCAGAAAAAGGGGAGTCTATTATCCACATTAGACAGAATGGGGAAACTAAGGAATAGAAAGTTCACTGGTTTGTTCAGGGCTGGTTAAGCAGCAGGTTAATAACAGAGTCAGCTCTAGAATCCAGGCCTCCTTACTGAAAACCCAAATTCTGTAAACCCATAACATATTTTTGTTTGTTCTTGATGAGCATAAGAACTTATAATCCCACAAAATTCTGTGTGGCAACCTGGTATCATGGACAACACACTCCAGTTTGCCCTTGATCATCACAGGCAAAATCCCCCTGAAAACTCAGCTTCATGGCCTGGATGAAATGAGCACTTCCCCAGCATCCTCTGGGAAGGCCATCTGGCATTTGCTGCTGTTCTCCACTGCAATTAACATTTCACACATTTCTTTCCTAAGCCTCCAGCATACCTGATGCAATAGTGGGAGAGAGAAACAAAAGCAGAACTGAGATCAGCTTCACTGCTATGATAAGAACTTTCAGGGGTAAGAAAAGGGCTAGTAATTGGTCTTAAACCTACTTTGCCAAGTGGTTCATGAGCAGCTGTAACATCTGCCGATTTTTTTCTGGGAGCCGATGAACAAGGCTGTGGATTTCAGAGACCCGAGACTCCTGGTTCTCCAGTTCTGCAAAGGAAGGAGGGAGATAATATTTTATCAGTGTCACAGCTAAACAACTTTAAGAATGAAAAATCAAGGGAAACCAAAGGATGGGCACTAACAGACCAAGGATTTCTCAAAGATTTACAATCTTGTCTTGTGTGCATACTGCATGGCCAGCATGACTAGATCTGGAAGTCCTTTTAATAGTGCTTTCTGGAACAGGGTTGCCAAAAAAAACCGTCATCAAAAAATCCAAACCAAGGTGATGATGTGATGAAACGGAGCCAGTCAACTGCACACCCAGAGCTGCTCCTGAGAACAAACTCAGGAGTAGCTGGCTCCCTAAAGGGAAGACTTCATTTCAAGGAAGTAAGGAACTTTATGCACTTGTAAAGTGATAAACAAATCTTACATGAATAACATTGCAAGGGTTTCAAATATCAAAATAACATCTCAAGACAGCATCAAAGAAATCAAAGGAAAATGTCCAGTATCCTCAAGTCACGTATGACAACCAGCCTGCTAGAAAGAAAGTAATGGCAGATAAAATACTCAAGTCTTCCTGCCAACTTGTAACCTAAATCACGGCTTGTCACATTCTCTTGGTTGAACCTGGGTAAGTGGCTTTGTTACTCTGGCAAATAGATTGATGGTGCTCATCACACCTATTTATAGAACTGATGTGAGGTTTAAGTAGAGAATGGTCGCTATGGGTTTGTAATTTCTCTAGAAAGAAATGACATAAACACCATCTTTGCTCCTAGCTTTCTCCTTCCTGTTTTAAGGGGACAACTATGAGTAGATAAGGACACCAGAATAGGTACTACTAAATTAGGCCAGTAGTAGCTACCAGAGTAAATATATTTTAAAGGCTGAAAGGAACCCGGGAGGGGCACAAGTTATCGACATAATAATACTGTGAAGATTCATGCTGGATTTAAATCTGATACAGAATCTTTCTGCCTCTTTACAAGAGGCCTGACCCATGTAGCCAGAGATTCCAGTATACTTAGAGTAGCTTGCACCTAATCCCTATGTATTTTAATACCAGTAATATGACACCAGGGACCTGGAAGATATAGCTGAAGAATGATCAGAAGCTGTAAATGGAAGACATGATGGAAAAGAGGACTGTGAAGTTATATAAATGGTGTCATATTCAGGGAAACATTTCCAATGCTCAATTTAGGTAATGTGCAATGTCTGATTCATTCTGCAAAATGCTACTCAAAGGCTGGAAAAAACCTAAGAAGTTAGAACTCCAATAATCAAAACTAGAAAGGCAAACTTGTTTTTCTCTATCCCTCCAACATCCTCCTCCCCTAAAAAAAAAAAAAAAAAAAAAAAAAAAGACTTCTGAAGATTCTCTCTCCTGCTGTAATTTCAATGTGGTAGAAAGGCCCTTAGCAATCCCTATTTGGTTTCATTTTTATTCTGTGTTAGAATCTCATGAGTATGTTATGTGGCCAGTTTACATGCAGAATATGAAGGGTTAGGTAATGTTTATTTTGGGATACTGACTCTTCTTTGAAATAGAAAAATCTATTCCCTTCCCCTTAAAACTGAGACAAAAAAGACTTACTTGCTGCTTTGATGAAACTTCTTTGAAACTGGTACATCATGAGTGGTCCTGGAAGCATTCTGGAGTGAAAGGAGACAGGCCAATCAGCTTAATAATAAGAATAATCATATTCTCTCTAAATAGCAGCCTAGAGACTGACAAACTGTATTACTTTTCTCAAAGACAAAGATCACAGGGAAACAGTAACAATGCAGTTTCCCTATTGCAAGGGTTCAGAGATTTCATCCAAAATTTTTATTCTCTCTCTTTTTCAGAGGAATAGATACAACTATGTTTCATTGTCAACACTAAAATAGTGCTAATGCAAGAGTCTAACACAAAATAAGAGATTTCCTTTTCAGTCAGTGACTCACCTATCAACAATAGCATTTTAAGATGTGTCTAAGAAACACGCAACTAACTACATATTTGCAATTCTTGATCTTCCCAGCGGCTTGTTGTTAGAATCAATTCATCTAGAAACACTATAAAAGACTTTTGTAGGTGTTTTGGTGGTGAATTCCCTATGGAGTATTGCTCCAGAATTCTAAAGGGCTAGAATGCCTAACATTATGTATGATATAAACAAATTTTACCTGCTAGGGTATGAGTATGTTTAACCATAAACTTGAGGTTTTTTCTGATAGTTCAAATAAGAAACTTCTCAATAGGACTATACATTATTCTTGGCTCAGATTTTATTCTCATTGGGTCCCTTAATTCGACTCCTAGTTTTAGTTAATACATTATGTCTTACTCTTCACTCTAATTACCCAATAGCCAATAAAATCTACATCAGCAATTCCTTTTCTGTGGCCTCCTTCCTTTGCTTTCCAGCCAATTGCATCTTAAAATCCGCACAAAGACTTATGCTATTTCTAATGACCATTCTCCTCTCCTTTTAAGACTAGGTCCCGGCCAGGCACAGTGGCTCAAGTCTGTAATCCCAGCACTTTGGGAGGCCGAGACGGGCGGATCACGAGGTCAGGAGATCGAGACCATCCTGGCTAACACGGTGAAACCCCGTCTCTACTAAAAAAAAAATACAAAAAACTAGCCGGGCATGGTGGTGGGCGCCTGTAGTCCCAGCTACTCGGGAGGCTGAGGCAGGAGAATGGCGTAAACCCGGGAGGTGGAGCTTGCAGTGAGCTGAGATCCAGCCACTGTACTCCAGCCTGGGCAACAGAGCAAGACTCTGTCTCACAAAAAAAAAAAAAAAAAAAAAAAGACTAGGTCCCACCTTTTTCTGTAAGAAGAACTATGGTATTCCTGTCTTTCAAGTCCAGCATAAATACTTTGGTTTATTCATGAAACTAAGATGCAAGCAGCTGGTCAATAACCCAACCCTTAATAACGAAAGGAGGTATAGAGAGGGTTCAGTAATATCATTTATAAATGATACAAGGAAAATAGTATCTCCAGGGAGATAATATTGTCCAATCTAAGGGAAGGAGTCAAAAAGGAGTTCCATTACGTTCTCATTTTTAAGAACCATTGTCAGCAGTGTACTCTGTGTAAAGTATGAAACTATCAAAATACATGGGGTATGTAATCACGCTTTCTTAACTGAATATGATTCATGATTCCTTGTGTTCTTAACAGATTATTCAGGGTCTTCGGGAAAGACCCCATTGTAGGGTCTGTTCAAGGCTAATTATCACAATGCTTCTCATATAGAACAAAGTTTCCTAAATCACTCACGGTGTCATTGCGCAAAGGCAACCCATCAACTATGGGTGATTTACAATTGGTTTGACCAGCTGAGCTAAACGCACCCACACAGAAGCTGTTTCCACATCTCAAACACCCACCCGACAGCTCTCCGGAGTCTGAAAATAAAACTGCTTTCTTCCTGATTGCATGATAACTAGCTGGCACTCTGCCTTGCAAATGGAAAGTCCCTACCTTAGGTAGGTCTTCAGAGCACTAGTGATGGTCTTTATCTCCCATTCAGCACAGATATCTGTTTCTGTCTCAGAAGCAGTCTTGGGGTCTAAAATGAAGAAAAGACAATACATAAAGCACAGCATCAAATGGAACTAATAAATAAGCACACATAAAGGCATCCAATCTTGCTAGTAACTAGAGAAATGCAAAGTAAAACAAACACGACGAGTATTTTTTTACCTATTAAATTAGGAAAATGTCTAAAAATTCCAGTATCTATTGCTGGCAAGAATGCAGTGAAACTGATCCTCTCCTATCCTGCTGGCAGCAGGAGAGATAAATGCAACAGTTTTGAGAAGCAATTTGGTAATATGTATCAAAGTCTTAAAAATGTTTACACCCTTTGAACCAGTAATCCCATTTCTCACAGTCTATCCTCAGAAAATAAGATAACGCAGAAGAAAAGTTACAGACCCCAGATATGCTCAGCATACACTCTTCTTTGTAAAAGCAGGAGAAAAAAAATAATAAAAAAACATAAAAAGGAGACAACTTAAATGTCCAATGATAGAAGAATGATTAAGTGAATTATAGTATGTCTACCTGATGGAATATTACCTCGCTGATTTATATGACAACCATGACTGTAAAGCAACATGGAAATTGCCTGCATTATATAATGTCAAATAAAAAAAAATAAAAAAACAAGATATGTTTGTGAGAAACTTTTTCTATGAACATTTTATATGAACAAGGCTGAAAGGAAATACTCTAAATTAGTGGTTGGGTTAAAGTGGTGGACTGTGGTATCATTTTATTCCATTACTTTTGTATTTTTTTAAAAATTGCTTTAAGTTCAAATGTGCAATGAGAACCACCATAACTATCAGCTCTGACAATTTCTTTTGTCTCTTCTTGCATGGGCTTTTAAACAAATCAGTATATTTTAAACAAGCATGTACGATAAAAGATCAGAAGAGGTAATTCTTGTAATCTTCCTGAGTAGCACACAAGGAGATGAGAAGAAGAGGCAGAGGTTAGGGAGTGTAATTGCTTCACAGATCCCCATCCTGTCCCTGGTGAGGCAGGCCAGGTCATACACCTACCGGTGGGAGGGTCACAGAGTCTTTTTAAGTGCCCAGGACGGAGAATCCAGCTCCCTCATACTAGCTAAAGACTAGTTCTTTGCCCACCAGCTCCCAGTCCTTTTTTTTTTTTCTTTTTCCCTGCATAGCACCTCATTTTGAGTAGGAGAGCAACCCTTTTCCTACTTTTTCCAGGGGTGGAAAATGGGATTCAGGACAGACTGGCCAAAAGTAGATCATCTCTCTGGACTTAATGACTGGATGAGGGATGGCCCAAGACCTAAGCCTGCCCAATCAGAGTAACTCTCCAGGAGTTAGGAACAGATATTTGCTGTTTGCTAGGCTTGCACTGGGAGGTTATGTAACTGCCAGGTGCCACCACACAGAGCCTGAAAGTCCGACAAATCCAGAGATGAGATAAGCAGAAATGGTGGATCTTGAACCCTTGTATTTGCCTCTCCTTCTTACCACATGAGCCAGTAAATTCCTTTTTCCCCTTAAGTCAGATGAGGTCAGGTTTTCGTCTTTTTACAATGCAGAGAGATCTAAATGATGCACCAGGTAAAGGGAGGCAGCCACCAGACTGCATCTTTCTGAACAGTCTCCAAGAACAATTCTGGGATATCAATGAAGAAAGCTGTTCCTCCTGCAGGGCCAACAGCCTTTCAGCTGGAAAAAAATAAGTCGCAGGTGGGCACAATACATTTTCTATTTACTGGGAAAGAAACCACTTTCATCCAAATAGAAAGAGGCCAAATACTCATGAATGGCCTCAGGATTTAGCCTATCATCACCAGGTAGGGGCACAAATCCAACTGGTATCTGCTGCTCTCCGTGTGTTCCCCAGACACACACTGGGTTATGAGAGAGGAAAGGGCCCCCAGCTCATGTATGATGTTTGCAGGTGACCCTGAGCAATAAAATGAAGTCTTTCTTGTCACATGAAACAAACAAGGAAGAACCTAAAGAGCATAATTTTATTTCTGGGGCCACAGAACAGTAAATTCCATAGAGTCCTGTCACAGCAAATTTCTGAAAAGTTCACAAAATGTGATTTTCCCAGTATCCAAAATGTCTGCCACTTTAATTCGTGTCTTCGTCATCTTGCACTCCCTGAATGGCTTTTTCCTGCAGAAGAGTATGTATCAAAAACCTCTGCTTTGCATGACCTCTTTCCCTCCCCATCCTAAGATACATGGAGAGCTGCCATCCTGCATGGTTCCTGGATGTGAGACAAATGTTACTGTACATTTTTCTAAGGAAGAAACCAACTTCTGCCCAAGAAGAGTGAACATGAAACTGAACAAGCAGCAGTTGGCAAGTCTGGGAGTTGTGAACTGTTCCATGAACCACATTTAGCAAACTAATGATTAGCTTCCACTTATTCGGGCTCTGTAACCATAGGAATATTGCGTAACATTAGAGAGGAGAGTCAAATTACAGCCCGGCTAAAGGGCTTTTTATAGCACTGATGAGGCAAGGCTCATAACTCAAGCACATCCATTTTAATTCATTTAAAATCCAAACTAAGTTGAATACAGCCTCCCAAGCTACACCATTTTCAGAAAGTGCTGCTGATTTCCACACCTCCCTCCTGATGCGCCCCTCACATACAGAAGCTTCCTGATGGCATCTGAATATGCTGCACAGACATCATTTACACTCTTCTTTAGAACTCAGTACCTTTCTCTCCACCATGTCCCTTGACCACTGCTGCTCAGTAAAACAGATCTAAACTAGAGGAGCAATCCAGTGTACTAGAGGCATCATGTGGGGAAAGCAGAATGAATGTTATTTCCTCCTGAACCTACTATCACATGAATTCAGAAGACTAGAAGACACAGACTGGAAGCAGTGGTTATAAGGGGAGAACATCTTAGAAATGTCACACTTGGATCAGTCCCAAGAGTCATCTAGTCTATCACTGTGCTGCAGACAAAACGAAGGATATTTTGGAGGAAATCATTCAGAAAGTTACCTGTGTACACTTAAATTTCCTAATACTACATTATACTGTATGCAGATTAATGTTTTTCTCTCTTTAAGTGAGAAAGTAATATATGCACATGTTAAGAATTCAAAGAAAAAAAGAGATATACATGAAAAGGTAGAGGCAACTGCTAATGCCAGTTTTTTATGTGCATATCCTATCTCTAACAGTCCCTTCTGTTTTGAGATCCAAAAGCTTTTACTGGCTCAAGCCCCAGTCTTATGAGGGCCTGCCTGAAGCATCCCAACAGGCAAAGGTTATGGTGGCTGGAGCAGAGGAGGAGGTGAGTTTCCATCTGTGTGTCTCTTCTTTGGGGACTCAGGATCGTGATTAGTAACCGTATTGCTAGCTCCCAGGATGATCAATCCTCTATCCAAGTAGTCTATCATCTTCTGGTCCTATCATCCTTTGTCTGCTCCCCTTTACTGGTAGACAAAATTGGACGTTTGCTCTTCTCATGGTTCCCCTACTCCGGCGGTCTACAGTCTTCAAAGTCTGAGCTGTTTCCATTCAATCCTATGTAAGCCTTTAGGTCTTAGAAATCATCATAAAGCATTTTGATTTCTTCAGAAAGAAGTTGTTGATTGCTTTTATTTATGCCACTCTGTGGAAAGGTACGGGAAATAAGGGGCATAGAAAAAAGAAATGCAGACATTCAAGGTCCCAGAGTAAGGGAGGATAGTTCACGGCTGGGTCTGAGGTAAGTGGGGGAAGCATGTTACTATAATTCTGTGCTTTACAGCACTGCTCTATAATACCTTCGTTGTGTTCTCTGTTTTACTAAGTTTGCTTTAAATGTGGTTTTAAAAAAAAAGAAGAAGAAGAACAAAAAAGGTTACAGGACGAGAAAAACAGTGATGCTGAATTTGCAGTCCTTTACCATCATGGTAAAAACACACACACAAAAGGAACACAAATTTTTAATAGCACAGAAAATTAGGCTCAGTCAACATTCTCCTGCCACCAGGATATCCACTAGGCAAAGCTCAGATGAAGGCCTGAGGAAAACCCAGCTAGGGAAACAACGTGATAGGTGGTGGCCCTCTGCCCACCAAAAACTTAGCCCAAGCAACCCGGGGGTGTGGGGAAAAGGCTATGCTGCAACCCCCCAACCCCACTCCAGCACACACACTATTGGGGGCTACTTTCTGGGGTACCCAGAGCTGTCATGAGATTATAATCCAGGCAATGAAATCAGACTGCAGAGCAGAAGTGGAGAGGAGTCCTTTTATATCAAGGCAAGTGAATTCAGGAGAGTCCTAGAAGAAACATGACAGCCATGAGGGAAGAACCACAGCACGCTTCAGATTACCCAGGAGTAAACTCGGCTTCTCCCAGGACCATGACCAAATAGCAAAACCAGGAAAAATCAATGCAGGCTTAGAGGTCCACTAAATGAAAGTTTTAAGAATACCAGAAAGTTGGCTCAAATCACGTACAATAGCCCTCCAATCATCATGTAAGATAATGATTCTAATAGCATTCAGGAAAATAGCAGAACAAGAAGAATCTCCACAGTGAGTTTAAAAGCAAAGGTTTGATTAAACAGAAGATATAAACTCCTATAAAATACTTGTTGGCAAAAAAAAAACAGAGATCAAAGCACTCTGAAAAATAATTCAGACAGCACCTGCTCTGTCATATAAATAAAATTCAAAAAATATGGATGCCAGAAACTAAGACAACAAAATAAAACAAGAAATAGACTGAAATAATAAAGATTACAGATGAGAAGTAGAAATAAAAGAAGTTAAATAAGATAATAAAGACACTGGAAAATCCAATTACAAAAAGTTAAAATATGCATTGTAAACAGCAAAATAATAATCACAGTCGACCCAAAAATTTTAAATGAGTAACACTGAGATGGGGGACAAGTATGAGAATTTTTGCTAGAATGTAAAGAATTAGGAGAAAAATTAAACATTAAAAAGGTGAAAAATGTTGGTGTGTTTAAAATATTGAGAATTATTGAAAAACAAACAGTAAAGAGATTTGTTTGCCTTTAGAAAAATATGTATACAAACTCCT